CCCCACGCTGCGAGAAGGAAGCAAAACTGTACCGCTCGTTCTCAGGTGAGTCAGCCTCTTTCACTTTGCGACGTTGAGGCTGAACGCCGCCGGCTTGATCTTGCTCATGCGCATCGCGTGCGCGCTGCTGCCGACGACCTGCTTCTTCACGGGCGCAGCGTCAGTGCCGAGCTGGATGCGCACGCGCTGCGTGCGCTGCTTCTCGGCGAGCACGGCGTCCAGCTTGGCCGCCACGGCCGCACGTCTGGCCTCCTCTGCCGCACGGCGCACGGCCGCCAGCTTCTCTGCCTTTGCCGCCTTGCGCGCCTCGATGGCCTGCACTGCCGCACGCTCCGCCTCGCGGCGCTGCTCCTCCAGCGCCGCCGCCTCGGCGTGCTCCGCCCGCGCCAGCGCCAGCGCATCGCGGCGCCAGTGCAGCGCCTTCGTCACCACGACGGCCTCGCCAAAGTTCTCGGCGTGCGCGTGGCGCGGCGCAGAGGCGAAGAGCGCATCGGCCAGCGCCTCGAGCTCGCGCAGCTCCATCGCCTGCCGCCGCGCCGCCACGGCCGCGGGCGCCATCCACGCCGCCAGGCTCCCCTCGGGGCGCTTCGGCGCCCACAGCTTCTTGGGAGCGGCAGTGCGAGGCATCTTTCTGTGTTTTTGTGAGTGTTTTGTGAGAGGTTTAAGGTCTGTGTAAAGGGGCTGACGACTGCGAGAGACGTAAGCGAGTTCAAAGAACAGAGTGCGGTTAAGCGAGCGTTTTGGGTGTGTGTGCGTGTAAGGCAAACGACGAGGAGGAGGGTACTAGCAGAAGCTTCTTTCAAGCGGGGTGTGAGGGAGAGGAAGAAGTGGCGAGCGAAGGGGGCCGCCGAGAAGGCCCTGCTTATATAGACGTGAGCCGGCGCCATGGGTCCAGGGCACGCCCACGAGCGAGGGCGGCGCACGCAAAGTTCGACATGCACGCGCGCAACGGCCCACGCGCTCGTCGCCGTCGTCGAGGGAGACGAAGGCGTGCCACTCGTCCAGACCGCCTGCTCCTCGCGCGCAAAGCGCATGGGCAGACTCGTCGCTTCTCTGCGCACCTGCTCGTGCCCCTCTCATCGCTCCACGACGTCTAGGAGAGGAGCAAGAGCGATTCGCAGGCTGCGTGTCTGCCACACTGGCGCCGTGCCGCAGCGCGCGCGTGCATGCGGCGCGCGCACGGATCGCCTCTGTCCCGATGCGCGCCCTTTTCGTCGATCCTGCGCCGATCGCTCGAGCGAGGCATACCTCCAGTACGTGGAGCGCATAGCTGGCCTCTGTCCGCACCGAATGGTGCCTCACATGCCCCCTTTCGCGCCCGGGATGATGGAGCGCGCACAGCTTGCGGCGCCGACTTGATCCATCCCATGTCGCGCGCGGCGCGCGCGCCTCGCCAGTGTCGCGCCTCGCGCGGGCACCTCCGCAGTGTCGCGCCTCGCGCGGGCACCTCCGCAGTGTCTGTCCCCGCTTCTCCTCCAACGGCCGGCCCGCATGAGTCCAGGCCGCGGCCGTCCGCCTGCATCGTCCACAGCCGAGCCGGGCGCACGCAACAAGAGGGCACTCGCCAGCTTCGCAAGAGCACAGCCCGACGGTGCTCTGGTGCCCTCGTGCGCGACACGCGCGCTTTCGCCAGATGCCAGCCGACAGCCAGGCCGCTTGGAGCGCGCGCAAGGCTTCGCCAGAGGGCCGCCGACGCGCACCAACGAGACTCGCGCTGTGCCCTGCGCCCCCCGAGCACAGCGCCCAGCAGCGTCGCCAGCTTCGCAAGGAGCGCGCCCGACGTGCTGGCCCCCGCCGTCCTCGTCGCGCCGGCGCCCGAGCCCGCCCCTTCCTATCGGCAGCCTGCTGTGCTCCTCTCCGTTGCGGTCCGCCTACTCTTTGTCTGCTGCACGGCCATCCCGGGCGTGGCGCAAAGACTCACGGATGTACGGGGGTATCTCATTGGCTGTCTTCTTCCCCCATCTGCCCTGCTGTTCCCTTCGCTGCCCCTCTGTCATGCTCTGCCGTTCTCCCTCATGTTTCCCCTCGTCCCGTGCGCCCCTCAACCCTGATCTGCCCCAGTGCGCCCAGCTCTCATTGTGCTGCGCCTGCTGCAGCAGCAGCAGCCGGCGCCGGCGCCGGCGCGGCAGCAGGTGCCGCTGCTGCGGGGGCAGGAGCAGCGGCGGCAGCAGGCGCCTGCGAGGCGCGCAGCTTGCGGTAGTCTGCGGCGCGCGCCACGACGAAGGCCGTGACGTCGTCGTAGGTGCGCTTGCCTGGCGACGACGGAGTGCGAGGCGATGAGAGGCGGCGGCGGAGAGCGAGAGCGGGGAATGAAGAGAGCGAGTAACGAGGAGCGAAGAACAGACGGCGGCGACGGTGGCGCGGAGCACGTCCATTGAAGTGCGTGCCGTGCGATGAGGGCGACGGTCGGCCGTGAGCGATGTGCCGTGTAGTTGTGAATGAAGCATGTCGGAAGATGCGCCGAGGAGCAGAGCGCAGACGCAGGCGAGGATGCGAGAGCGGGAGGGGAGACAGTCAGCGACCGCTGCAACGCTGCATCCGTCTCTCGCGTGTGTGGCGCGGAGCTCAGGGGAGAGGGAGAGGGGAGAACGCACCGCTGTACTGCTCTACCATCTGGCCGTCCGCATAGAGTCTCAGTGCAGGGTAGCCCAGCACCTTCTGCGCCTCGCACAGATCTGTGTCGCGCGCGTCAGTCATGGCGGTGGCGCGCGAAGAAAAAGGGCGAGGGCAAGGGCAAGCCCACGCACCGCCCTGCTCGATGCAGTTGACGCGGCTCATGTGGAAGTCGGAGTCGGTGGCGAGATGCTCCTGCATCTCCAGCACGTCCTGCCAGATGGGCGCAAACTGCTGGCAGTGCGGACAGTAGGGCGAGAAGAACTCGACGAGCCTGTGTAACGCGAGAACGAAGGATGAGCGAGCGAGGGAGAAGGCGAGAAGGAGCATGGTGAACGCACCACATGCCGTGTGAGAGAGAGGGCGTAAAGGTGGCGGAGGTGAGATGCGGCAGATTGGGATTGTGGATGTCGCCGAAGGCGTAGTCGATCGGCGCCGGTGCCGGCGCGGCGAGCGCGAGACTGAGCAGCGCCGTGGCGCCCAGGAGGAGGGCGTTGAGACGCATCGTTGCGGCTGATGTGAGTGGAGAGGAGAGGGAGGAGAGCTGCGAGGGAAGAGAATAAGGAGGGCAGAGAGAGAGAGAGCGCGGGAGCAACGGCTTCAACGGTCGGCGCTCGGCAGTCGGCGGCCGGCGGTGGCGCCAAGGAGCGGCTGTGCTTCGGCCGAAGGGTGAGTGCAGTGGAGGCTGTAGGCTGCAGAGGTGTCTGTCGGCGGAGCAGAGCAGCGAGGGTGATCGAGGCGGTGTAGGTGGTGCTGAGCCACGCCAGGCGCGCTGCCTGGAGCCTCGCTCGACGCCCTCGCGGCGCCGCTCAGCCTCGGCGATGAGCGCTGCTCCCACGCGTCGGGCTCGGCGAGCCGCTTCGGAGCCGAGCGAGGCATGCGCACGTCACGTGCCGCCTGGCCCGCCTGGCCCGCCGCCGCGTCGTGTGGCCGCAGGCGCCGCCTCCCTCTCTCCCCCGAGGCACACGCTCTCCGCCTCTGGACATCTGCCTTGCGGCAGGATACTTCTCGCTCTACCTGAGAAGATATTGAGCACAAACATGTCTGCTTACACCTCTTGCAGAGGCTCGCAGACGGCACGAGAAGCGCACGTGAGGTCACGCCGCGTTGGGAGGCCGCACCACTTTGACCCCTGAGAGCTCCATCAGTCTCGAAGCTCTGAACATAGAATGGTGTTGTTCTCGCAGCCGCACGCACTTGCGCGCGCTGCCCCGGCTCCTCGACCTCGTGTACGTCTCTCTGCACCCTCATCTTCCTTTACAGGCCCCCCGCAAGATCCAAGATGTCCAAGGACAGCGGCGACGATGCCGCCTCGCCTGCTGCCGCAACGGCGCGCGCCGCCTCGTCCAGCCTCTCCTCCTCCTCCTCCGACGGACACAAGCACGGCTTTCTGCCGCCCGTGCTCGGCCGCAGCACTAGCGAAGAGCAAGCGTCGGTCATCGCAGCGGCCGTCGAGTCGCCCGAGGCCGACGCGGAGGCTGATGCCGAGGCAGCCGAGGTGAAGCTCGAGCTGGAGCACCGCAGCGAGACGCTCGACGCTTCGGCCGCCGCTTCTCTCGCCACGCCTGCCTCACCGACGGCGAGCGCCACGAGCCTGTCGTCGCTGCGCCACGATGCCCGGCTCTCGCTCGCCTCGCCCTCGCTCTCGCGCCCACCATCTCCCGCCGCCGACGCCGCGCGCGCCGACAGCGACGCTCCCTCGCGCCCCACCGCCATGCCGCACGCGGCCCCAGAAGCGGCGGCGTCTTCTAGCGCCGCCGCGAGCCAGAGTAGCGGATCGGACGCTCCGCTGCCCGAGGATGGCGCCTGTGCAGCAGCTGCGCCACCGCAGGTGCAGAAGCCACCCGCAGAGCAGGGCCTTGGCGCACCTGAGCAGAGGCGCCAGGCAGCACCTGAGCAGGCGCAGGCGCCCCTCGAGCTCGACTTCGAGGCGGCGCAGCAGGCCCGACCCACGTGCCTCGTCACGTCGCCCCGCGCGCCGGGCGCGGGCGACGCGTCGGGGCGCAGCGCCGGCCGCGTGTTGATGTGTGCGTTGCCGCGCGCCGCGAGCGCCGGCAGCCGCAGCCGCAGTGAAGGGCAAAGCGGCGGTTGCCAACGGCCGCTCGGTGCTGCAACTGCGCCCGAGAACGAGGCGGACGAGCACTCCGCACGTTCGGTGCAGCGAGATGCAGCGGCGGCAAAGGCCGCTGCCGTGGCGCAGCAGGAGCAGCAGGGCGCAGCAGCGGCCGGGAGCCGGGGCGCCGCGTCGGAGGCGCCTCCGCCGGCGCCGCTGCAGCAAGAGGAGGACGGGACGGAGCGTTCTATCTGCGCCGCCGTCGAGGCCTCGAAGCAGCAGCCGCCGACGCTGCGCTCCGAGCGCATCTCGTCGGGCGAGCAGACGGCGCAGTGGCGGCAGCTCGAGCAGGAGCACGAGGCGCGCCATGCGGATGCCGACTTGCTCGCCTCGTCGTCGTCGTCGGCGCCCTGCACGCCTGAGCCTAGTCGCGGTGCTGCAGCCTCCGACACGTCTGCATCTGCGCTGCAGCTCGGCGCCGCTAGCCCTTCTCCTCCTCCTCGCGCTGCTGATGCGTCGGGTGCTGAGCTCGCAGCCTCGGACACAGCAGGAGGAGAAGCAGCAGGACTCGCCACTTCGCTCCTCCCGACGCTGCCTCCACTCAACGTCCACCTCGCTCGCCTTCCCTCTGCGCAGCCCGCGTTCCAGGCCTACTCGTCGCCCACGCTCCCCTTACCTCTACGCCGCAGCTCTTCCCGCCATACCCTGTCACCTGCCATCCTTGCCGCCGTGCGCCACAAGCCGCAAGATACGCTTCCCTCGACGCTGCAACGCAGCAAGACTTGCCTGGACGCCCCGGCGCGCCCTGCTGCGCCCCTACAAGCGAAGCAGCAGCAAGAGCGGCCGGCTTCCTCCTCTCCGCCCTCATCTCCTCCTCCCAGTGAGCCTAGCTCCACGACCGCCAGCACCCTCAGCGCAACGCTCCACACCTTCTCTCGCCCTCCGCCATCCTGCGAGTCGCGCCGCAGCAGCAGCGTCTGCTCGTCGCCGAGCACCTCGACCTGCCTCGACTGGGGCAGTGACGCTGCCTTCATCCCGCGCGCCGCCCGCCTGGCAGCGGCAGCGCCGGCGCCCGAGCCGGAGAAGAGCAGCGGCACCATGCAGCGCCTGCTGCGCAACAAGGGCAAGGAGCCGGTGCGCGCCGACTGGGAGGCCTTGCCGCCCGGCAGTCCGTCGCCCAGCAAGCGCCACGCCGACGCCGCTGCTCCCGCTGGGGAAAGCAGCAGCGGCCTTGGCGGCGGCGCGGGCAAGCTGGCGCGCCCGCGCAGCTGGATCGCAGGCATGGCGGGCATGCTGCCTTCGTCCTCGTCGTCGCAGTCGCTCGTAGGTCTGCCGTCCGCTGCGCCGCCCGCGGCGCCCTCGCGCTTCGCCCGTGTGCGCGGCAAGTCCGTCGGCGCCGCGGCGGCATGGGCGGCGGCGAGCACGCCGGACCTGCACGCCGCGCCGGGCGGCCCAGACGAGCAAGCCGCGGCGGAGCCGGAGCGCCGCTTGCGTCCGCCTCCCATCTCCCAGCTCGTCCTTGCGCCGCACGCCACGTCCGATCGCGCAGCGGCACTGGCGGCGCTGCGAGATGTAGAGGTGCTTGCTGCGGTGGATGCGCAGCACCATCAGCGCGAGCTGCCAGCGCGAGATGCACGCCATCGACTGCGCTCCATTTCGAGGGCAACGGCGGCGAGATCGGTGCCCATTCTCGGCCGGCACGACGCAGATGATGACGACGAAGACGCAGTGGCACCGCACGTCGTCGCCCCGCCCGCGCTACGCAGTGCACTGAAGCCCAGCGGCCCTGCCCACCTCGTGCGGGATGCGCAGCCTGGCCCACTGCTGGTGCGCAACCTCGACACTGCGCCGCGCGGCAGCATCACGCCGGCGCTGCGGCACGACGATCCGAAGCTGCGCATGACAAACCCGTGGAAGCGCATGGAGTGGGGCGCGGCTGAGAAGGAGGACGCGCCTGAGCCGCTGCAGCCCATGCGAGGCCTGGTCGACGCGAAGGACGAAGAGGAGCGAGTGGAGCACGGGGTGAGTCTCGCTGTCGAGGGCCATCTTTGCGGCGCTGATGAGCTCCACTCCGTGTGCAGATCGCGGCCGATCGGCAAGCTGGCACAAGCAGTGCAGCGGAGAATGCCGTGCTGGACATGCTCGAGGCCATGAACTCGACCGTCGACACGTTCGACAAGCCAAGCACGCTCTTGCGCCTTGCGCCTCCCTCTGCGTCGCCCACGCGCTCGCAACGTCTGGACTCGGCAGGCAGTCGCTCAAGTGTCTCAACGACGGACAGCACTTGTCCACCCGCGCCCGCCTCAGCCACGCTCAGCCCCACGCGCCGCTCCGTGCGTGCGTTCGCCGAGGCCTTCGAGCAGCAGAGCGGGACAGGTGTGCCTTCGCCGCCGCTCAACGGTGGTGGCAGACCCGCGTCAAAGCGCAGCCATTCGAGCTTCTCCGGCGCCTCGAGCGACTCGGCACGCAGCAGCGTGCGGCGGACGGTGCACGAGCTGCAGAGCCGCGACGACGCCGCCTCTGCGGCAAGCCATGCTACTGCTGCCCTGCGTGCGCCGCACGTGCGAGGCGGCAGCGTCAGCTCCGGCACGGCAACGTCGTTCCGCTCCGCCAACAGCTCGCCGCCCAAGGCATCGGACACTGCCACGCCCGCTGAGACGCTGTTGGGTTCTGCGCCGCGCCCTCGTCCGCCGGCGCGTCAGCGTCTGCACGAGGTCAGTGCCTCCAAGATCGCCAGCTGCAGCACCGGTTCGTCATGGCCGCGGCCTCGCACAAGGGCCCAGAGCCTCGTGCCCCAAGCTGCCGATGGCTCCGACGACCGGCGCTCTCCATTGCGCTCGCCTGGCGAGAGCAGCTTCACGGTGTCGTCGCAGGCGCAGAGCTCGTTGCTGTGGGGCAGCGGCAAGCCGACGCCGGACTCGCCTTCGACCATCGCTACTTCGCCGGAGCTGCCGTCGAGCCGAGTCGGTGCCTTTGGTAACCGCGGCACAGGCGACGGCAAGCACAGCGCCACCTTTCCGCCGCTCCTGCGTCGCCTGCAGACGGACATGACGGCTGCTACGTCGCTCAGCTCCGGCACAAGCCATGCCAGCAAAGCCACTCAGGAGGCGGTTGAGACCAACGAGACCGCCTCGTCGTTGACGCAAGAGCGGCGACGCAGCGAGGCGGTGGGCTCGACGCGCACCACCTCGGTGCTTTCTGCTGCTTCTTCAAGCTCACAGCCGAACCTGACACGCCTTGCGAGCCAGTCAACGGCCAGCGCCGCGAGCTCTCGTTGTTCGCCGCTGCGCAAGAGGGAGGCGAGCTCGGAGAACCCCGCCTCGCCCAGCAGCGTCAGCTTCGCGCCGTCGGCCATCTCCAAGGACGCCGTCGCCGACACCCCGTCTGCAACGCTCTTCCAGACGCCGCCGGCTCGCCTGCGCCTGGGCTCCACGGCCGAAGAGGGCTTCTCGCCGGCGCTGCTCAAGACGCCCTCGCCGACCAAGGCCAAAGACCTGATCCGCTTCTTCGAGCAAGGCCAGAGCCCCGCATCGCCCCGCACGCCGCGCGACGACGCGCCCGCCACGCCGGCGTCTGCCATTGCGCATCGTTTCCGCACCGCACTGGCCGCGTCGAACAGCAATGCGTCGATCAGCGCCGACGCGACGGCAGACGAGCTGTGCACGCCGCCGAAGCTGCTGTTCCGCCTGCCGGCCGAGGCCATCGCCGGCAGCACCGAGGCAGACCCCGTAGCGCTCAAGCATGCCGCCATTGCGCGTGCTCGGCCGCGCATGCAGCGCTCGCGCCTCGGCGTGCTCGCCGGAGCGGCGGCAGGCTCCGATGCCGACGACGAGAATGCGCCTCCCGACCCGGACTTCTCGCCCTCCGGGCCCTCGCCGCGCAGAGTGTCGGGTCTGCGCAAGACGAGCCGCCGCACTTCGTCGTCGCATGACCTGTCGCCCCTGCGAGATGCGCCTTCGACGTCTCCGCTGCGCCGCGAGCGTGCCTCGGCGCCGCCTCCGGGAGGCATTGGCGAGCCGCTCAGCGATGCAGCTGCACACACGGAGCCGAGCCCCACTCGGCGTCTCGGCGGCTTCAAGAGCAGCGTGCGCAACATTGTCTCGGCGTTCTCCAACAAAGGCAGCTCGGGCGCCGACGGAGGTGCAGGAAGTGCTGCGCAATGCCACTCTTGGGCCGGAGGCGACGCTGGCGGCGGCAGACCGCCATCGGCCTGGCGCGAGTGGAGCCACGAGCATCCGGGCATCTCGCGGCAGGACACGACGGGCACACATGCAACGGCCAAGACAGACGACGAAGGCAGCGTCACGACGGCGCTGACGATGGGCACCATTGCCTCGTACCGCCGGCGCTCCGAGACGGGCGACTTGCCGCTCGACACGCGCGGCGCGCTGGAGCTGATCAGCGAGGCGCAGCAGCGCATCCCGCCGCTGCGCCAGGGCCCGCTGTACTACTTCAACGTGCACAGCCGCGTGGCGCACTGGCAGCGCGCACAAGCCGTGCTGCTGCCGACGGCGCTGGCCCTCAGCTGGATCCCCGCCGGCGGAGGGCGCGAGAACATCGTCCTCGACCTGCGCGCCTGTCGCGAGGTGCACTCGGTGCCCGGCCCACTGCATCCGAGCAGCCTGCGCGACGCAGGAGCCATCGCTGCGCGGCAGCAGGACCTCATGGTCATCAGCTCATTCCAGCTCATCTTTGACGACGGCGTCGAGCGCTTGGCCGTCGACACTGCCACGGACCGTGTGCACTGGGTCAGCTCGCTGTGGTGAGTTTGTTGCGTGGTTGATGCCTGCCGCCCAGGCTGACAATTGCGTTCAGGGACGCGCTCGGTCTCGCGAGGGACGAGGCTCCTCAACAGAGCATCTCTCCTGCCGAGCAAGCCACACCAGCCTCCGTCACGCAGGCTGTGCAACTCCTCAGCGAGCAGAGCAAGCCCTCGCAGCGCGTGCGCCGCAAGCCGGTGTCTACCATCACGGAGGTCAGCTCAGAGCAGACGGCGGGCCATCAGACGACTCTGTCGCGCGAGCGGCCGCTCTCGGACAACAACACGGCCGGCGGCGCCACGATTGAGCGCATCGGCGCCGTGTGGAAGAGCGAACTCTCGTCGGACAAGAGCGAGCGAGGTGTGCCTACGATTGCCGCAGCGCTGGCTACTGGCCCGCCGGTGCCTCCGAAAGAAGGCCGCCATGCCGCCTCTCGTCTCGCCAAGGCTTCGGGTCGTGGACGCCTGGCAGAGGCATCTCAGCCACTCGCGTCGAAGGTCACTTCTGTCTCTCCCGGTGACGCGGCCCGCTCGCAGCCCGCGTCGCTCGAGGATGTCAATGCCTCTGTCGGTCGCCCGTCACGGCCTCGCACGCTCACGGGCTCGACGTTGCAGGCACAGTCTGACGCAGACGGCCTCTCGCAAGACAAGGCCGACTCCGAGCGCAGCCACGATCCATATGCGGCAGGCTCGACGTTCACACCCAGCGAACACTACGATGACTTCGGCCCGCAGTCACCGCCCAGCGACTTCACGTGGTCCTACAGCGATGCCGGGCGCGAGCTTGTGCCGAGCGATTCGGCGAGCCAGCGGCCGCCACGCAGCGACTACGAGGGTTCGGAGCGCCATTACTCGGTGCGCGGTGCGGGTGGCTCCGCAGAGGATGCGGCAGCTGCGCATGCTGCCGCCCTCCGGCTGCAGGCCGAGACCGCTGCCTCACCATCGGACGAAGATCAGACGTCCGAGGAACGAGCTGTGACGCCTCCGGATGCATCAACGCCTGCGCAGGCCGTTCGCGAGTCGGCAGACGTCGTGCTTGCAGAATACACGGCGCATCTGCTCGACACGGTGATCGAGGAGACGCAGTCGCAGGCACAGAGCTTCGCGGGTCGCTCGCGAGCTACGACGCGTCGCTCGTCGGGCATGCGCTCCGCCTTCATCGCCGGCGAGATCCAAGAGGAAGAGGAGCTTCGCACGCCATCTCCGCGCAAGCACGCACGCTCCGTGAAGAGCCAAGCTTCGTCATCTGGCCAGACGACCGGCAGTGTGGGCTCACAGGACGTCGCACGGCTGCTGGAGTACCTCGAGACACAGCAGACGGAGCGGCAGGCGCGCGATGCAGTGCTCGAGGAGCAGATCCGAGGCTTTCAAGATGCCATCACGAGCCTGCAGCGCAAGGAGACTGGCTCATCGAAGCGTAGTGCCCGCCGCAGCAGCACAACGTCGACGGGCGAGGCGAGCCTGCGCTCGGCTGCACGTGACGCTGAGCTCGCCGCCGTGCAGGAGAAGCTGGACCGCGTGCTGAACCTCGTTGGCAACGTCTTCGAGGGGCAGGCGAGGCTCGAGCGTGAGGCCAAGGAGCGCGACACGACTGTGCTGGCGACGCCATCGGTCGTCGCCTCTCCTCCGCCGCAGGACCTCTCGCGCATCGAGGACACGCTGCAGACGCTGCTGAAGCGCATGCAAACCCCGGACGTGAGCTCGCTATCGGGAGCGGCCTCCAGCTCGTCTCTGCGCGGCGGTCTGCCCGCCGTGCTGGACCCGGCCAACCGCGCCCGCTTCCTCGAGCGCGGCAACGTCAACATGCGCGAGATGAGCTCGCGGGACCGCGCCATTCTCGCCGATCGCCTGGTCGGCAGAGTCACTCGCGGACGCTCCAGCGCACCGGCTGCCGTCGAGGCGGATGCCACGCCGCGGTCGTTCGTCAGCCAGTGGACTCGCACCGTCGCTTCGCCTGGCCTGGCAGACCTCGGCACGCCTGGCATGTCTGCTTCCATCTCGGACTCCGACCTGCTCACGCTCGACGACCGCATCCCGCCGCGCAGCTGGATCTCGGCTGAAGGCGTGCCCTGTCCTCCGCCGAACACCGACAATGCCTCGCTGCTCTCGCGCGACGGCGGCTCGCGGCCGTCGCGGGATCTCTTCTTCGGCGTGCCCGGCAGCTCCTCGCGCGCTGCTCCTCGCGCTGCGTTCGCGCCCGACGCAAGTCCAGTCAGCCTCGACATGGAGGCGGAAGTGCGCCGACGCCGCGGACGCCATCCCGAGACGGCAGTGCACGGCGGCGGCTTCTTCACGCCTCGCACGGCAAGCGGCGCGCCACAGGCTCCCGAGGTGCGTCTTGTGTGGTCTGCAGCAGCGCTGCATCTGCTCACCTTTCCCCGCCCGTAGAAGGACGGACCGGTGCTGCGCCTGGCGCGCCAACGCAATGCCTCCGACTCGACTGATCACACCGGCCTCGGTCTCTCCCTGCCGGACAGCTCCAAGGTGAGTGTCACGAATAGCCAGAGTCGTGTGGACGCTGATCTTTCGGCTCCAGGTCGTCGGACGTGACAAGGTCGGAGCGGCCGGTGCAGCGCGCCCGGGCGACGATCCTGACGGCACACCACGTCCGCCACCGACGCCCAGCACACCAAGTGCCGAGCTCTCCGCCGTGCTGCAGGCGATCAAGGACAACGAAGAGGCGCGCACGGCGCAGCAGAAGCAGTCTGCCGACATTGCGCGCTACCTCAACGAGCTCAACTCGTGGCTCGAGCGCGACGTCGTCGACCGCTCCAAGGAGTGGCGCACGCTCGTCACGGGCGTCACGCAGCTGCACGAGGAGCTGGCACAGCTCAAGGGCGGCGGCGTCGGCATGCCGGCCGCAGCGGTGGCAGGCGCGATGCTCGCCGGCGACCAGGCGCATGCGGATGGCCAGCGACCGGCAAGCGCTGCGAGAGGCTCGCGGCCGCTCCCCACGCCGGGCGCCGAGCATTTCGCAGGTCCGCCGACGTCGCTGATGCCCGCCGGCCGCGTGGCGCCGCCGCCGCCCGGTGCGCCTCCGGGCAAGGGCGTGCAATTTGCTGAGCCTGGCGGCGGCGTAGCGGCGGGCCTCATCAATGCGCTGCCCATCTCGCCGCCCAAGGGCAAGCCGGGCACGCGCACGTGGCACGCACAGCCCTCGCCGGGCGCGCTGCGCAACCAGGATGTCTGGGCGACGTCGGGCTCGCAGCCCAAGGTGGACAAGGCGGCGCTGAAGCGGGCCAAGCGGCGCAAGTCGCTCTCGCGCATGAAGCGCTTCGCCGCCGCGGCCGGCGGAGCGGCGCTGGTGCACGTGGCGCTGGCGGAGTGGGAGAAGCACAAGGCCGAGCAGCGCAACGAGGGCAAGCCGGAGGAAGGCGCCGCAAAGCCCGACGCCAGCGGCAAGTACCCCGAGCGTGTCGAGGTGCCGGACCACATGGTCGCCGAGCTCAAGGAGGCGGCGGCCAAGGGCGATGAGCACCAGCTGCGCGAGATCGTCAAGAAGGCCGCCGAGGTCGGTGCAGGCGGCGCGGCCGTGGCCAAGATCGCAGAGCACTTCAAGCAGAGCGACACGGCAGACGAGGCGACCGACGGCAGCGACGACGACTCGGACGACACGCTGGCGCCGTCCGACATGACGGCGCGCGTGCAGGGCGACGCCACGTCCGAGGCGCGCCGCAGCAAGCGCAGCAAGGGCTCGGCCAGCTCGGCCGGCTCCGCAGCGGGCGCCGCGGCGGGCGGCGGGGCACTGGCGCTGGCCGTCGAGGAGATCCTCAAGCACCTGCTCGAGAAGAAGGAGGAGGAGCAGCGGCGTCTCGACGAGGTGGCCCGGCGCGAAGCAGCGCGAGACGAGGCGCTGCGTGCGGCCGAGGCGGAGCGCGACGAGCGAGTGCTGACGCTGCGCGAGCGCGAGCGCAACGAGCTCGTCGAGCTCATCATGAGCAAGCTGGATGCCGAGAAGAGCAGCCAGCTGCAGACGGCGGCGCAGGCGGCGGCGACGACGGACGAGTCGCTCAAGGCGCTGGCCAACGACCTGCTGCGCACCACGTCGGAGCAGAACGGGCGCCTCGTCGAGGCGGTGCACGCCGCCAGCCGCGAGATGCTGCGCACCAACGTCGAGACGCACGCCGAGGAGCTCAAGCGCGTCCTCTCGCAGCAGGTCGCCGGCATGTTCGAGGACGTGGGCAAGATCCGCGAGGCCAAGCGCGCGCTCGAGCTCGAGATTGCCGACCTCTTCATGCTCAAGAGCCGCCACCTCGGCGGCGTGATGCCGGTGGCGGCCATGCCCATGCCGTACCCGACGCCGAGCGTCCTGCCGGCCTCGCCGCCCGCCTCCGTCACGTCGAGCGTGGGCAAGAAGGCGGCCAAGGAGAGCGGGCGCGGCGCACTGCCGACGCCCGCGGCGCAGGTGCCGTGGGCCATGCCCGTGCCGATGCCCGTGCCCATGGACTACGGCCCTGCGGCCGGCGCAGGCGGCGGCGGCGAGCCTCCGAAGCCGGCCAAGCGCGACTGGCTCTCGCCGCTCTCCTTTGACTTCTCGCCGCACCCGCGCAAGTGATGCCTCGTCTGAGCCCGCACCCACCCATCTATCTATCGACCCAGTCCCCATCCCACAGGCGCGGCGCAAGCCCTGCAGCCTCTTCCGAAGAGCTCATTATCTAATTGTACAACACCTCCCAGACGCGAATTGAGTCTAGAGCCGAGCGAACGTAGTGTGACGATGCGGTGCTGTTGCTGCGAGAGATCCATCGCGACGGGGGTACGAGGTGTCTGGCTCGCGGAGGCAGAGCACGACTCCGTGCAGCGAGCGAACGCAGGAGGGGCGGCATCACGCAATGATGGCGCCGTCCTTGTCGCACTTGAAGAGGCCGTAGCAGCACTCCGAGTCCTGCAGCTGCACGCCCTCATGCTGCTGTTGTTGCGCAGGCGGCGGCGGAGAGGCAGGCCGCATGGACGGCAGCGTCGGCATGTGATGCGCGAAGCCAGCCGTATGTGGCGGCGGTGGCAGCTCGAGAGGCGGCGATGCATGCGATGCTGCGGATGCAAGAGAAGGATGGCAGGGAGATTGCTCGATCGGCACGCCGCAGCACCCGCCGGCTTTCTTGGCCGCCGCAGGCGGAGGCGGCATGGCTGCTGCACCGTATGCATGTGGCGAAGAAGAGTGGAGCGGCAGCATGCGCTCCTCCTCGCTTGTTCGTCCGAGATGCGCTGAGAGAGGAGGCGGAGGAGCACCGCCAGCGCCCGTCCACGCATAGCCGGGCTGATACGGCTGCGGCGCTCGAGGGCTGCCGGCGAATGCGCTGTGTGCACTATGCGCACTGGGCGAACGTGCCCGTCGTGTCTCCCTTGGCGTGGTGCTCCCTCCGCCACCGCCGTCGGATGTGCCGCCGGGCGAAGGCACGTCGTGATGTGCGCCGCTGTGGCTGTAGCTGGGCGACGCAGCCTCGCGCGTCGAGGCGAGCAGCATGCTGGCGCGGCCGACGGGTGTGTGCGCAGGACGCGCGTAGGGGTGCGAGGCGTCGCGCGAGCTGCTGGTGGTGCGAGAGGGCCCGGCGTGGCTTGGCGGACTGGCGGCGCCGGCAGGAGGAGGATAGGGCGAGCGCGCTTGGGCTGCGGCCGTCGAGCAAGGTCCAGGACTGGCGTAGCCTGCAGCCGAGCTGAGGCCGCCGCCGCCGTTCTGCTGCACGCCTCGAGGCGACGGCAACAGCGGCGCCGGGCCCCAGCGCTTCAGCGTCTCTGCCAGTTCATGCTGTGCGACTCCTGTGCCTGCGCCGCCTGCGCCGCTTCCTCCGCTCGTCGAGGGCGCCAGAGGGGGCCGCAGCGCAGGCATCGGCGAAAAGTGTGGCGCAGCAGCAGCAGCAGCCGCGCCCATCGCCTCGTCGGCGTGTGCGCGAATGGCATCGCCGCGGCCCAGCGCGCCGCGCAGCTGCGTCATGGCCGAGGCGAGCGTGGCGAGGTGGAAGTCGACGGTCGACATGGCAGTGTGCTGGCCATGGTGTAAGAGAGTGTCAGCGTGGCACTTTCACACGCCGAGCGCAGACGTAGCCCACACGAGCGGGCAGAGGCACATGGCCGCATCGCCGGCAGAAGCACAAGACCGAACGGTCTCTATCTGTCTGTCACGCCGCTCGCCGCCTGCTGGCCTCATCTCCGAGCACCACTCACAATCTCCTCGTGGTTCCTCTTGGCCGCCCAGCAGCCCTCGCAGAACGGCCTCTCCCTGTCTCGCTGCTGCTGCGGTGGTGCTGCGCCCGCCGCGCCTGCCTGGCGCTTCTCCCACTCCTCGGGCGCCTCCGTCGAGCTCGGCGCCGTCGTGTCACTGCTGCTCTTGCCGCGCTGTCCGCCTTTTGCGCTGCCACTGGCCGAGCTGCTGCTGCCCTCGCTGCTCTCGCCCTCCTCCTTCTTGCCCTCTGCGTCGCGCCTCTGCGGTGCGCGTCCCGCCGCGCGCAGGGCCGCATTCTCGGCCTCGAGGCGCTCCACGGCCTCCTCGAGCGAGCGCAGATGCGCGGCCTTGCGCTCGCGGAAGGCACGCTGCGTCAGCAGCTGGCGCGACGGCTCGAGCGAGAGGTTGGGACGCCGGCCGCGCGTCATGGCGGCGAGGCAGGCGAGGAGAGAGAGGCGGGCGAGTGGAGAGTGGCGCGCGCCGAAGTGCACGTGCCGAGGCGAGGTGTGCAGCTGGTGTAGCGGAGGGAAGAGACAGACGAGACGGAGAGCGTGCTGGAGAAGCAGGTGGTGGTGGCTGGACGACAAGCTGCTCCAGCAGACGAGCTCAGCGTGGCGGCACGCAGCCTGCTCATCTGACAGTTTCGATCGAGATCGGGCTCGGAGCCGCTCTTATCCACGTGCGCCCCGCCGTGCGCGGCGGTTACGCCGACGCCGGTCCAGGCCTTCAGTCGAGTGCTCTTCCGAGTCAGACTCATCAGAGGCTGCATCGTCCGACCTCAGATGTGACGGACGCATAATCAAGACAGCCTGTGCTTCATCCTCAAGGAAGAAAGCAGCAGCGTCGTTGCACGCAAGCACTCAGCCTCTCTTCCTGAGCATGTCGCCAGGCCGGCGCGGGTCAGCGGCCGATGTCGCGCGTGTCTCTGCACGAGTCACAGCTCTGCTGCGCCAACAAGCGCCTCTTACGGTCGCTGTTCCGGACGTGCTTTCGGGTGCAGTTGACCGGCCTTCGGCGCTGCTGTCTCCGCTCGCCTTCGGCGCTGCAAGATGAAGCATGGCGGGAAGAGGGCGCCTCGAGCGCGTGCCTGCAAGGCGGAGGAAGCGCCGCGGCTTGGCGCACACTGCTGCCGTGCCCACGTCACTTTCTGTAGTCAGACCCCAGGGCGCACTACAACTGCACTTTGAAGCTCTCCCCCCCGGGACCCGGGACACGCGCGTGCACGTGATGCCAGAATTCTGTGATTTTTGCGTCGAGCCGAGGCCGCGCAGAGCGGCCGAGATGCTCATGCGCCGAGGGCACACTGGCGCCGTGCCCGAGGTGGATGAGAAGTCGCGGCTGCCGCTGCTTCGGGCCAGTCGCCACGCCGGGCCCAGACATAGAGGAGCAGCACGCAGGAGCAGCGCAGAGGAAGATGAGGCGCAGCCAAGAAGCTCCAGCCAGCGCCATCCACGCCTGCCTCTGCACCACACGCACCGGAGCCAGACGCACTTCTCATCCGGCCCACCTTTCCCCCCCATTTCCTCTCCCTACCACCCACCCTCCTCCGCAATGGGCAAGAAGAGCGCCGCAAAGGCCGCACCGGCCGCCGCCGCACCCGCCCCCGTCGCGGCCGCACCCGCCGCCGCGCCCGTCAACGGCAAGAAGGAGAAGAAGAGCAAGAAGGCCAAGAAGGAGCCCACGCCGCCGCCCGTCGTCGAGAGCAGCGAGAGCAGCGACGACAGCAGCGACGACGACAGCAGCGACGAGGTGCGTTGCTTGCGCGCGCAGATGTGCCCTGCGCGCAGAGAGCATGGCCCGGGCATGCCCAGTACTCACACACTTGCTGCCTGCAGGAGCCGTCCAAGGCCGACGCCGTCAAGCCCGCCGCCGCCGCCGCGCCCGCGGCCGCCTCGAGCGACTCGGACTCGGACTCGGACTCGAGCGACGACGAGGCCGCGCCTGCTGCCGCTGCTCCGGCCACGAACGGCGCCGCCGCGGCCGACTCGGACGACAGCGACGACTCGGACGACAGCTCGGACGAGGAGGAGGCCGCGCCGGCCACCAACGGCGCCGCCGCCGCTGCCGCCGCCGAGGACTCGGACGACTCGTCGGACGACTCGTCCTCCGACGACGAGGAGGCGGCCGCGCCGGCTGCCGACAGCAAGAAGCGCAAGGCCGCCGACGACAGCTTCGTGGCCAAGAAGGCACAGACGGTCGAGGCTGCGCCGGCGGGCGGCGACGACGAGGCGCCGAAGCAGGTCTGGGTCGGCCAGCTCTCGTGGAACGTCGACAACGAGTGGCTGCAGAGCGAGTTTGAGAGCTACGGCGAGATTGTCAGCGCGCGCGTCGTCATGGACCGCGACAGCGGCAAGTCGCGCGGGTGAGTGCTGCCTGCGGGCCAGAGGATGGGCGGCGCGCGAGAGGTGCGCGCACTTTTCGCGCGTCGCCTCTTGCGCGCGCTGTCCATTTGCTCGCGCGTGCGCGCAAGTCATCGCACTGTACAGTCTTGCTGACCCCTTTCCCCTCCCCTCAGCTTCGGCTTCGTCGAGTTCAGCACCGCCGACGCCGCCAAGGCCGCGTTCGAGGGCGCCCAGGGCAAGGAGGTGGACGGCCGAGCCATCAAGGTGGACCTGCAGGCGGCGCGCGCGCCGCGGGATCAGGCGGCGTCGCGCGCCAAGAAGTTCGGCGACGAGCGCAGTGCGCCGAGCCTGACGCTCTTCGTCGGCGGCCTGGCCTTTTCGCTGTCCGAGGACCAGATCTGGGAGGCGTTTGGCGAGCACGGCGAGGTGACGCGCGTGACGCTGCCCAAGGACCCCGAGACGGAACGGCCCAAGGGCTTCGGCTACGTCGAGTTTGCGCAGCAGGAGAGCGCCACCAAGGCCCTCGAGGCGCTCGCGGGCGCCGAGCTCGGCGGCCGTGCCATCCGCCTCGACTACGCGCCGCCGCGCGACCAGAACGGCGGCGGAGGACGCGGCGGCGGCCGCGGCGGCCGTGGCGGAGGCCGTGGCGGCTTCGGCGGCGACCGTGGTGGCCGGGGCGGAGGTCGTGGCGGCGGTCGTGGCGGCTTCAGCCGCGGCGGCGGCTGGGGCGACCGTGGCGGCCGTGGCGGCGGTGGTGGCCGCGGCGGCAGCCGTGGTGGCTACAACGCCGCTCGCTCGGGCGGCATCCAGGGCTTCGCCGGCAACAAGACGACGTTCGACTAAGCCGCTTCGCCCCCCCTCCCCCCCCCACGCAATGCCCTTAGATCTCTTCTGCCACTCTTTTCTTCCACTTGCCGCATACTCTCTCCACGTCGTGCCCACCTTCAGTCCGTGACTTTAATCCGATCGATCCTGTGCATCACACACACCAACTATCTCAAAAGCTCCAAGCTGCCGCTGCCGAAGGCGGCAGGCTTGGACGCACCATCTCCCTCCTCTTGGTCATCGACTCGACTCGACTCGACTCGGTCTCGGCTCTCTCTGTTCCATATCTGCGTCTGCGTCACGAACCATCCACACACTTCCTCTCTCTCTCTCTCTTTCTCCTCGCATCCCCTTCACGTCCCCCCCTGCGCGCCTTGTGCCAATCTGGGACGTACTCATGTGCAAATGAAGCGCTTCTCTCTTCTGCCTCGCCTCGACTGCGCCCGTGTGTGCCCGCTGTCCGGCTGCTGGTGAGGCATACGCCGCCGCCGCGGCGCGCTGGAGCAGGCTCTACTTCTAGGCGCCGACGTTCTGGCTCGCTCTTACGCCGCACCGCGCCTCGCTGGGGGCGCGCCAACCCTCTTGCCTCGCTCACTCAGGCAGCGCATTCTGACTATGACGGGGCTGAGATGAGGCAAGCCATGTGCAGCCTCCGCAGCCCCGCAGGAACATCGCGCGTCGTGCGTCGTGGTCGTGGTCGTGGGCGCGATGATTCGAGCCGCCTCCGGCTCGGCACGCGGCGGGCTCGCAAACGTCTCGAGAGAGAGAGGCCCGAGCGCGAGGGCATCAGAGTCGAGTGAGGGGGCAGGCGCGCACTGAAAAGGCTGGCATAGCAACCAAGACGCCGCGCCGCGCTGCTTCTGGCGCGCAGCAGGGCGCCACACTCGGAGTAGACTACGAAGTGTGAGCAGCGCGCGCCAGATCGCCCTTCTCATTCGGCTGTTTGCAACACGAGAAACAAGCACGGCCACCGCCCCCCGAGTAACACCCCCTTCAGCACGCAAGTGCGCTCGCATGAATGGTGTCAAAATGTCAAGGGAACGGGCACGAGCGCCAATCGTGTGTCGTGGGGGGGGGGGGGGAATGTATGGAAACAAAAGCGTCGTCTCTCTCTCTCTCCTCTCTCTCTCTCGCCGGCTCGCCGGACCTAGAAAATCACATCCTCGTCCTTGCCGCCTCCGAGCATGTCTCCTCCTGCTCCCTTCTTCTTGCCCTCCGCCTCGCCCGATCCCTCGTCGACCGCCTCGCCACGCATCGCCGCCGCGCGCCGCTCCGTCTCGGCGCGCTCCGCGTTGCGCTTCTTCTTGCCCTGCACCTTTTTCAGCCGGAAAAACTCCTCGCTGAGCGTGGCGTGCGTGGCGTGGCGTGCGAGGCGGCGGGGGGCGGACGGGGGGATGGGAGTTGGGGACGTCAGGCGAAGGCGAGAAAGGAGGGAGCGCAAAAGCGAGGACGGGTGCAGGGAGAGAGAAGGCGTCAGTGTGAAAAAGCGAGGGCACATCATGCGTAGAGAGGGAGAGAGAAGACGCACCGATCCATCTCGTCGAGCTCCGAGGAAATGTAC